ATCATGTGACCTCATGAGTGGCGGAAGGAGATACTTAATGACTAAACTCTCTCCCCTCCCCCAACTAATTCGATCCAGTAAAAAATAACTGTAAAGACGAGCTGATGCGGGTGAGACCGCAGACGAACCTCAAGGGTACGCTTCGTGTATCGGACGTGACCTGACCCCCAAAGCATGCATCAGGCTTCTGTGTTGGGGCAGCTTGGGTGTCACATGAGGGAGAACATTGTAAAGGTCACACTGACGAGGAGCAGTTGAAGCACTGCCTTGTTCCGTCATTTGGTACCAGGCCAACCAACGACTCTTGGCGCGCATCATGATGGATTCAGGGGGTCACCTTGAATATGGTGAGGCAGGCACTGAGTTACCATGAGGAGGGACCCTGCAGCGTCGGCCTCATTCGGCACGTGTTAACTGTACGAGCTTGTGAATCAACGTGGGATTAGGCTGGGTGCCAAATTTTAACAACCCTTCTACGCGTGCCACACACGTCCAGTCCGCGCGCAGTGGACCAAGATTTCCACAAATGAGTACGGGACGTCTCGGATCCGAGCTAATTGGGCATGCCATGGAGGCCACATTGCAGGCCGACTCTCCGTCCTGAGATGAGGTGTCCCGCGACTTTAGTGCACCATACTTGCGATCTGTCCAGGCCTTACTTGAATGCCTCTCACAGTCTATGCGGCTATTCAGTCCCCTTTGTTTTTTGTCCCCTCCTGTCTCTGTCTCTTTTTTGGGAAATAAATTCCCACGCTTTAATTTGCCACCACACAGTTTCGCCACTGCGGTGCTTTCTCCCTGTAGGTGGACATTGACACACTGCCCTTTCGAAGGAAACAGTGTATCGAGTTCTTTCGTGCCCAGCCAGTGGACGAAGAGACGGAGAAACTGGTGGCGCAGCTGGAACGTCTGGACAAGCGTCTGAGCTGCGTGGAATTGCGCTCCTCCTGCAAGATCCATCTAGGCCGACTGCATGGCACAAAGTCTGTGGTGAACGGCCTGCCGCGACGCCGGCTCAACATCGCCGGTCCCACCTTCTCGCACATTGCGCTCGCCCTAGGCATGCTCGAGAGTATGTTCCCTCGCATCATGTGCAATGCCTACTACCCCTACAAACTGCCTGCCAGGGCCAGTATGCGATATCAGTCAGGCAATCGAATGGCCAGCACGTCTACCTACTACGCGTCTCATGAGCCCAGCAACATGGGCCTGCGTGCCCAGCTAGATGATGGACCGATCAACAAGAGTAAAGCCATGAGGATGCTGTGCAGGCGGTCGGGCTTTCCTTCGCACGGCTAGCGCGGGCCTGTGAAATTTAAACAATGACACACACACGCACACGCATACACCGATTGGATCGGTGCTCAACATCAAATTTTGGCAAAAGAATGTACCTTTGCCTGACTGATCGTGTTCTCAGGGCCGGCCACCTGAAAATATGTGTGTGCACAAAGTCTCATGTGCACATGCAAAGACAAGGTAAGAGAAAATGTTGCCGGACTAGTACGTCTTGTTACGATGGTCATATCCATGGTGTGTGTGTGTGTGTGCGTGTGCTGTATCTGTTTCTCATATCTCCACTTCATAAATACATCTGGTCTAGGCAGAAATACATTACCGACAAAGACAAGAGGGACTGGAATGGTCACTCCTGGCTTATTAGCCGTCATACCCAACCCCAGGGATGGTGACTCCGAGGGTTGAAACCGTGACTTGTTAGTTAGAAGTCCAGGGCTCTAATGCAGTAAAACGTATTTTATGCTACTACTTCGCAAGCGTCTCACCTTTTTAACCATTCATATTTCATTTTTGCGTGCCAAAGCAACCTGTAAAAACATTTGCATCTTCATGACTTTTTATGCATTTCCGTATCGTTTAAATGGGGGTTTTTAAGGTCCTCTGTCATGTACTCCAAATATACTGACTGAATCACTGCACCACGAGCTCGTTAACTTTCCGGTTTCAGTGGATAATATACACAGTTGTAGATAGGTTATAGCGCTGGACTTCTAATTACAAGGGATGCGGGCTTGAACCTCGGACGTCTCCCTCCCTGGGGTTGGGTATGGCTGGCTGATGACGGCTAATAAGCTAGAAACAGTCATTTCTGGTAATGTAATTCTGTCTATACTATGCTAGCCGTTGAATGGCTGCTGGGTGGGCTCGAGAGAGAGAGAGAGAGCTCCAAGGCATAGCGGGGAGGGAGAGTTTATTAATCGATTGGTGAACGCCTATCTACCACATCTGGTCTAATCTGATACCCAGCCCACAGACGAGTTTTTGACTAGCTCTTACGCTCTCCAAAAATGTGACGTTCAGCCACTCCGACGCTCGCTTATTCTTGAAATTTTCTCTGGAGTAGACTAAACAGTTTCCTCCTTGAGACGAGTAGCTAGAGGGAGGCATGCATTCGATACTCTCTATTGTTCTTTTTGGTCCCTCCAAACGAGCATCTGGCTGGAAATGTACCGGTGTCACGAAAGCGAAAACTTGTGCCTTTGATGAAAAAGTTGTGTTTTGCGCAGGTCTGCTACATATAAAGTGCCACGGAGTTTGTGACCGCCACTAAATTTTCAAATTTAAATAACTTGTCCACACTGTCCCATTGAACTTGTGGGATATAGAAGCGTCGGGATCAACAATGTGGGATAGTAAGTGGTCCGGCCGGATAATAGATGACAGAACGTATCCCAACGGTGATAAACTAGTAAATACGATAAGGCGTGGAAGGCCAGAGTGTTACAAATGATTTAATAAGGTGTAGAAGGAGTAGAGTATAAGTAATGGGTAAGTGACTCCCAGATAAGTGCAGTCCAGCCATGAGCGGGCCAGATTCCAGAGTCGCAGTCTATCGGATGTAGTCGTCGGGTCCTGATGTCTGCTACTAATCATGAGATCGCCTGCTCTGAGAGTGTATGAGCGTAAGCAATCCCCGCAGTAAGGCCCTTTGTAAACTGGCCTTGGGAAGTGGTTGGCCAGTGAGGCCAGACACGTCCGTGACCTTGACTGGAGCGTTGACGCTGTCTGGCGCGCACGCGCTGGTGGGCCCGAGAGCCAGACATGCGGGACATGCATGTGTTAGAAAACATGGTCGCTACAAACTTTTGAGGGAAG